AAACTGGGTTAGTGTGTGCCCAGAAGGTGTTAACGTGGGGGGTGCACAGGCACAGGTACCGAGCACCAGGGGTGGGTGTAAGGGCAGAGCTTCAGCTACCTGGGTAAAAGACAGCTTTCAGCCTCTCTCTTACTTTCGCTCTGGACAGATGGTGCCAGCACTCCCCCACCGGCCTCCCTCGCCCTGCTTATCATCCTTGCTACAACCCTGACAAGTGTTAGTGTTCTCTAGCTGGTACTCTCCCTTGCCCTGAATCTTTCTTATCTGAAAGGCCTGACAGTGTTTTCGGCACCTTATCGGCGCTGCAGCAGCGTGGGCGGTGAGCCAGCGATGTGCCACCGGCTGCCGCGCACTTGGGGCGTGCCTGCGAGCACAGCCTGCGTGCGGGCACTCAGCACCCCAGTCAGGTCTGGTGGTTAAGAGGTGGCAATGAGAGAGGCTGAGCAGGCGGGGCAATCCGCTGTCACCCCGTGTGTCTGTTGGACACGGCTGCGTGTTAGGGCACGCACTGCCTGCATGCTCTCCCTGTAGCACGGCCGGTGGTGCTCTCCCTCTTCGGCACCGTGCAGCTTTGATCGGCGGAGAGAGCCAAGCTGTGCCGCGACCCGTCCCTGCAGCCGCAGCCTTCCTGCTCTGCCCTCAGCCCCCACCCCGGTGGCACTAGCGTTTCCATAGTGTTAGGGCAGTGGCAGGTCTCAGAGATCGTGGTACTGCGACATCTCCTCTGCATGGGAAGGGTGTGAAGGCTTGGGGGTGTGGGGGGTGGATGGGTTGTTCTGCTCTTGGATATGGTCCCTGAACTCAGGGAGCACGATGGGAGGAGCAAGAAGGATCTCTGTTTTAAAATGCAGCCAGTTGTAACTGTAATGCTTTTCTTTTTGCCCATGTATCTGCATTAATAGGGATTAACTCTCCTTACAAGGAAAATTAATTCCTTTTTCTTAGTTGCATCTCTGACTGACAAGCTGCTGCTCAGAAGGGTGCAAGCTGGGAGGAGTGTGGAGGGTCATCTGGCAGCGAGCATTTCCCACTGGCGCTGTCACTATTCTCAGAGCTCACGTCACCACAGGTTCCCCTTCTGCGGGATCACATCATTTCCCTTTTTAGAGATGTTTTCTCCAAGGAAAGCGCTCCCCAGAGCACTGTCAGGTTACAGGAGAGGCAGTCGCACCGAGCTGAGAGCTGGCACACGGGTGGCTGTTTGGAATCACCAAGGGATGTTCTTCCTCTGAGGACTCTTATTTCACGGTGGATACCTGCCAGAGGTGGATTAAAACCAAAATGCAATTAGGTAAATTCATAAATAAATCATGCTAGATTTGGAAATGAGTACCGAGAGGAGGATGCTGATGGCGGGGAGCCCTTGGGGTCGCAGCGCCGAGGTCGGCTGCTGTGTTTGATTGTGCTTCCACCTGTGTAGAGGCCACGGTGCTCTTCAGTGGTGTGGGGATGTGTGGGCTCAAAAGCTTTCTGTTCGTAAGCAGGAGCAGGACGTACCCAAAGTCTCCAAGCACCATTTCTGCCCATGGCCAGGGAAGCGCGTACGTCGGTGGGAGCCCGAGAGGGGCTGCGCGGGGGCACCTCTTCATGTGGAGCCTCTGGGGCAGAGCTTGTGCTGGCTGGCAGACTGTGGCCAAAGTGCATGGGGAGCTAATGAAATTTGGGACTTCAGCATGCAGGATTTGATCCTCCGGATGCTTGTGTTCTCTTTATATAGCTATTTAGAGAAGTGATACACTGCTGAGCCAAACTCCTCTGCACAAGAGGGAGTTGTGAGAGTGTTACTCTCACAAAACACCCAGGGGCACAGTCTGCAGTAAAAAACATTTTTATCAATTAGGAAAAGCCAGCAAAAATATCTGAAATCAGTAAAATTTAAAAAAAAGGCTGAGTGGTTTTGCTTTGAACTTTTATGGAAAGGAAGATGATGGCCAAGTTGGAACCCCCTGAAAATAAGTGCTGAGACTTGGAGGAGTGCCTCTTTTGTCACCTTTCCTGGTGAAATGGCACTGTGCGGGGATTCCTCTGGAAGCAGACTTCGGTTGCCGCAGGAAACACTGGCAGTGCAGGAGCGTGCCGGGTCCCTGCGCACTGGCCGAGCTCCCACGGGGCAGCACCCCGTGCCAGGGAGAGCCCTCGGCAGCGCCGGGGAGGCGGCACTGGCCCTCCCGCAGCCTCAGCTCACAGCCAGAACGCGGTCGAGCAGGACACCTACTGCTCAGCCATGTTCTTCAATTGACTAAGAACCCAGCAGTGTGCCCAGGTGGCCAAGAAGGCCAACGGCATCCTGGCCTGTATCAGAAATAGTGT